TGAGATGCCAATTTGGAGCAGAAGTAGCAATTGAAGAAGCAGCAGTAGTAGAATTGGTGCTCTTGAAGCAAGCCTATGGAGAAGATGAAGAGAACATGGAAACAGATTGAGGAGCATGATAAAGACCCTGGGAATTAAGGCCTTTATACAGAATGCTCTTGGTATCCTTGTCCTGAACAACAAACTTATCAGCATCAAAGATAACAAAACAGTTATTATCAGATGCTAGTCTATGAACAGATAACAGATTAGAAGAAATATGAGGAACATGAAGAACTTTTTGGAGTTTAAGTGGAAAAGAGGGAGTTGGAAGCAAACCATTACCAATGTGATGTATAGAAAGAGAAGAACCATCGCCTATTATGACTTGATCAGTGCCTTGATAAGGCTGATAATCAGAAAGCTGATTCAAGTCATTGGTAATATGACTGGTTGCAGCAGAATCAACATACCAAGTAAGAGGAGCAGATGATGATTGAAATTGAGGTTGAGAAGCAGAGGCCACATATGCTGCTTAGGTGTACCAATGGTTGAAGTGTGAAAACTATGATCCATGCGATGCCAACACTCTAAGGCTGTATGATTATACTTGCCACAGATCTGACAAACAACTGTAGAACCGGTATTGTGCTGAAAATTATGTGACTGTGGTGGAGAATGCTGAAAAGATGCACTGGACTGAGACTGCTGAAAATTTGGAGATTGAAAATTTTGTCGTCCTCCTCGACGGGAGCTGGAACCTCTGAAATAGCGACCTCTACCTCGGTTAAAGAAATTACCTCTGTAGCCTCTAGTAGAACCATTAGAACCACCTCTATTAAAAAGGATTTAGTAGTTGCAGCATAGGCAAAAGGTATTTCAGAAGCATGAGAAAGTTTGCTTCCAGCTTCAATATGAATCTCCTCAGAGCAAAGCAAAGAACTTAGAGTTGCAAGAGAAATTGAATCAGATCTGGCTCAGATGGTAGTTTTAAAGGCATTATACTCAGCCGACAATCCATTCAAGATTAATAGAACTATATCCTCATCATCAACAGGTGCACATGCTAGAGCTAGTTGATCAGTTATGGATTTGAACTCATTCAGATATGCATCCATGCTTAATCCTTTCTTAGTGAGACGATTCATCTTATTCTTGAGTTGATGAATATGAGATCTAGACAGAGAAGTGAAACGGGATTGAAGAACATTCCATACATTATAGCTTGTCATGCAATGAAAAACAGAGGTAAAAATAGCAGGAGACAAAGTAGCTGTAATGCAGCTAAGAAGATGAGCATCGATATTCATCCATTGAACATACTCAGGATTAGAAACTTCTTTGTTGCTTGCATCGATAAGAGTAGATGATGGACAATCCTTCGATCCATCAATAAATCCGATCAATTTTGTTGCTCGTAATATATTCTGCAACTGATTTTTCCAGACGATGTAGTTAGTTGAATCTAACTTTACTGTGACAAAGGAACTAAGATTTGATATAAGTAGTGCGAGATTGGAAGGAATTGATTGAGACACAAAACCAAATGAATCTTCCATGAGAGAAGCTTGAAGGAGCTTTGAAGAGGAAAGAGCAATACTCGTTGGAGCTAGGGCTCTGATACCATAAAGAAGATTCAAGAATTGAAGAAGAGTCAAGAACAGATATTTGTTTATTCATTAACCATCCTAATCAATTGTTACTAAATACATTCACTTAGGCTTGTTTTGGGTAATTTATTTACACATCTTTACTTATCTCAGTTTACACCACACACAAATTAAAACTTTTAATTTTGTCTTAATACACATCAATAATTTTCAGATAATACTAAACTACTCTCATCTTCTCCAACAAACCCTAACCCTCACCATTGTCGGCAACCATCGCCTTCCACCAGCGTCGTTCCCTTCTCAATCTCTCTTATTCTCCCACGGCCGCCGCCCCTTTCTAGTCTTCTCCCCCTCCTGCTACTACTTATTCCTCTCCATCTCCACCTTCAGATCGGATCTGTGAAGAACCCAGTTGATCTCAGCCTTCACACCCTCGCCGCTACTCCTCTATTAACCATCTCACCCCAGGTCGCCTCTCCTCGCTGTAACTCGTACCGTCCTTCTCTACCACCGACGAAGATCTGAAAACCCTTGGCTAGAATGAATCGCGATGGCTAGAGAGATAGAGAAAGAGAAAACCCAGCTCACCACTTTGTTTCTTTCTGTCCAAACTCCCAATTCTTTCTCTCATCACTTTCTCTCTTTAAAAGTCATGGCACCAGCATCTGAGCAACACAAACTCCAAAATGGTCTATGTAATGGATGCCGGGCAAGAGTAGAGAAATGCTATAAAGGTGGTGATGATCGGAAAGGAGTGAGGTGACTGCTGGTGGTCGAAAATGGCAAAGGTTAGGGTTGAGTTGGTTGGGAGGGAGGGAGTTAGAAATATGTTTCAATTAATAATTTAGGTAATTTTATTATTGTATAGGAGAGCAATTATGAATTTTATTTTTTCAGTTAATTTTATTAAATAAAAAATTCTGACAAGTGGGTATTCGTAATTTTCTAAATCACAGGAAATAATCTATACTTTAAACAAATTTCAGGGGATGTATTTGTAATTTACCCTAATTAAAATTATGAAATTCTCATATTACCCTTATGTACATTTGTGAAATTACCATTTTATCCTTAAAAGTGGGGGTATTTCGGTAATTGTACATTCGGCTTATTTATCTCTTCCGAAATGAAAATACAAAAAAGCCTTAAAACTGCTTTTTTCTAACTTTCCAAAAGCACTTTTTATCTACACTAACATGTACAATATATTTTTTTTATCGGATGTCCGGACTAATTTATGCTTATCTCGATCTAAGCAAAGCGCTCACTCCATGTGAATTTGATAAATCTCAAGTAAAGAAATTCTATTTACACACATCTACTTAGTTCAGTTCACACACTTAACGAAATATTATTTTAATAACAACTTACTCTAAACTAAAATGACCATAGTAGACATTCACTAACACCCAAAATATTATATCAAAATATTCTCTATACACATCTTTTAGGTTGAAGATTAGTCTTGCTTTATTAGTCAATGCTTCCATTCACATTTCAGTAATTGGTCTAACACCTTTTATTTTCTTTAATTTTTTATTTTTTTATCTACAGGAAAAACCTTGCAAATTGTACAATCACATCATAATAACAATTCAGCTAAAACTATTCCAGATCTTTTAAAGAAGAATTAGCATAATGATGCTATCAAAATGAGAAGAAACATAAGCATTGCAATTTCACATGCTCATCGAAACCATAAGGAGACCGTGATTCTTCTTGTCTCCGGCATCTTTTGTTCGTAGTATACCTCCAATTCATAATATGAAATACAGTGTATTTGAATTTTGAAAATGCATATATCTTATTATGCAAGCCCACTCCCACTACTAGTTAATGCATATATCTATTTCTTTTCGATAGGATGGAGTAAAGCACTATGGGACTCAATACAATGAAAGTTGGATTATGATAGTTATTCAATTGTAACAACCTGTTGCTTTTGTCCCTTATGATCTTTATTGACATCAAATAACGAAACCTGTTGTTGTGTTTGTCTTCATTGTGAATCGAAATAGGGCATATCGTTGCTCTTCATTTTGAATAGGTGTGTGGAAAGAGGGTTGAGATTGAGGTGGTGTATGTACAATATATGAGTTAAGAAAGGTATGATTGAAATAATTGGTGTGTGGAATGAGAAAAAAAATTAATAATTAAATTACTAAAGATTATTTTGGGAAGATGATTATAATCAGCTTTTTGTGAGAGAAGGAAGTGGGTTATAATCTGGGAAGTTATAACCCACTTCCCAAAAGACCCCTAAATATGTGCACTGAGATAATCAGATGTGTGGAAATATAATACCCAAACCTAAAGAGTTTGTCACCACTACTGAACCCAATATGCCACCACTTTCCCCATCCCTATCCCTGACTTCCTTATGAACACATATATATCCACTTAAAGCCGGCTTATTGGATTTTTAACTTTTTAAATCACATTATTTTTCTATTTTTTACATATTTTTCTTTTTAAAAAAAAATAAATAAAACCAAAAAATTAATTTGTAATTTACTTTTCAAAATAGGTCATATATATAAATCAATTTTTGATCGATTTGAAACTATAAAATCTCCATATCGTAGTAATGGCAAGGGTAATTGAGAAAGGATGGTAATGGCCACTGTAAAAAAGTGAAGACGGGGTTCTACCGCCTGTGAAATGGGAGAAGTGGGATCAAATTTTAGGATTATTTTTTATTTTTATTTTTTTGTAATTTTCTCAAAAGTCTAATTACCCAAAAGGATGGACCCTACATATGAGAATGTCACATGAAGGGTCTAACCTCATCTCTATTTACAAAAATTTATATGGGTAATGTTAAGGTTGTGTACCAAGTAATGCTATTTTTGAATTTGATTATCATAAATGACATAATTTAATATTATGAATCATAATTATAAATAAATAAAAAGAAGAATTACAACCAAACACCACATAAGTTATAACAAAGAAAAGTATTTAATCATAAATAAAATAATGTTATAACCAATATTATAATGAGTCGAAATTAACAATATAATAGGTCATAATAAAAAATATAAAATTCATAATTAGGATGCATATAGAATTTCCCAATTTATATATTTTGTTTCTCAACAAGTAGAACACTTGTTTGCAATTTTTCGCAGCGGAATGAAAAAACTAAGAACATAAACTTTTTCATAAAAATAATAAATATTTTCCAACCTACCACTAAACTGTCATTTTTTTTTTAATTTATTATATCATTTGCAGTCTTTCTTGTTTGGCAATACCAACAAGCAGCCTATTTTTTTGTGCATCTGATGAGTTATACCAGTATTACTTATAAGGAAGTTTCATAGAGAATGAGACACTTGTAATCTTATAAACATAATGTCCACAATCAAGAAAAAGGAAACATGCACAGAACTTGACAGAAGATACCTGTAAGGCTGTTGAGACGTTCTTTAAGTCTTGAATCTTTTAAGCCAGTTCCAAATACAAAAGCTACATCTGTTCTGAAAGAAATCCTACCCGAGATCTGCATAAAAACCAGAAAAGCATATGGGGTAGAAGAGAAATGGAAACCTGAGAATGGCAATCATAGTCCGTGGACACCTGTAACCTGTTACCTCCCTGACTGCCTACCTGAAATACTAAAATGTTTGAAGATTCATTGGAAGTGTCTGAGAGTTGCAAACGACCAAAAATCAGAAACAGATTTTCTTCGAGGCTCATCTTTTGTTCCTAGATTGAGGTGGAAGAATCGAAATAGTAATGGCATGGGGTTGAGATTTAAAAAATCATGCAGCTAATTTGAGGGTGACCTAATCTAGAAACAAATTTACGTTTAATGTTCATTATAACTAAAGATGATCCTTCAAACACGCTATTGTGCACCAAGACAATCAAACAACACAAAAACAGAAGAAATCTTTCTACATAAGGTTCAAGATAACCAAGTCAATATACAAGCAAAGTAGGAAGCATTTTGAGTAATTGAATCTAAACCGTTCTTATTGAATGAATACATTCGCGTAATTGATATGAATTATAAATTAGGAAGAAGAAAACTAGGGCACAAGCCTTTGGCTGTGGGTTTCTTGGCAAAGATGTTCATGATTTATAGAAAAAAACATGGACATGGTCAATATAATTTGCTCTTCAATTAATCAAGGATCGGAGAGAGAAAGAACGAACCTGAATCTAGAGCGAGAGAGACCCAATCGGCGACGGAGATAGAGACAGAGAAGGAGACGGAAACGGAGATGGAGCACTGTCTAAATAATTGATGGAGACGAAGATGGAGGACTATCTAAATAGTGATTTGTTTTGTTCGTTGTGTGTGAAGAGAGGAGGCCTAACTACCTCTCACTGTGCCTAAATAAGGTGGGTATATATAATACATCTCTCATTGCCTTGCTACTGGCTGAAATTACCTGCTCAAACTTAACCCAATAATGTGATAATGATTAAGTGGGTATTTGGGATTGAGAGAGAGAGAGAGAGAGAGAGAGAGAGAGAGAGTGTGTGTGTTAGGCGTATGAAGAAGAATTTTTATGGAGAAGATTTGGAATAGGGGAAGATTTACGGAGAAGATTTGGAATTTTCATGGAGAAGATTTATGGAGAAGATTTGGAACTAAGCAACTTTTTCGCTCAATCATAGAGTCGGCTTAGAAAAGATTTTTATTATCACACAAAATCTATATATCTATATATTAACGCGACGTGTGAGAACATGTTATTTTAGAGGTAAATTATAAATATATTTTTTGAGATTTATTTAAAATATAGATTAGTTTTTGTAGTTTGAAAAATTATAAATATCCTTTTATTAAAAAATTTCATTTAACAGAATTAATTGAAAAAATAAAATTTATAATTTATCTCTTATACATTAATAAAATTATCTAAATTATTAAATGAAACATATTTTTAATATCATTAAAAATTGTTAATTGACTTAGGGTTGGTTTGGAAAGTGGATTGGCTTTTTGGCTTTTGGGATTTTTTGGCTATTTTAGCCTGGGCTAAAAAGCTTGGTTTGAGAAGGATTTTTTGACTTTTTGGCTTTTTTGACTTTTTTTGTGAGAGAAGAGTGTAATGATTATGGGTTGGATGTGATCTTTTGTTTGTTGTGACTAAAATAGCCTATTTTGTCTTTTGTAGCTAAAATTGCCAAAAAAAACCCACAAAACCACTTCCCAAACGGTGCCTTAATGATTTATTAATAGAAGGGGTGATTTGTTATAAAATTAGAAACTTCAGTGGTAGAATGTAATTTTCAAAACCATAGAGAGCGATTCGTATTTTAATAAAATCTTAGGAGGTGTATTTGTAATTTATCCTTATTTTAATAATTTTTTTGACTTTTTACAAAAATATATGCAAAGAAAGAAAAAAAAAAAAAGATAGTAATGTGACAATTTGTAAAAAAAAATTGTTTTTTTAAATGTTTAATATATAATATTTGGTCGATAAATGGGCTTAAATATTTCAAAAATAACTTACACTACAACATATAAGAGTTTTAGAAATTGAACTTTTTGATCTCTAAAAGTGAAAATTTTGTTGCAAAAGACATTTATAATCAATTTCTATCGTCGTGAGAATAATCACTAGCCGTTTCGAAAAGTCAAAAATAATACTTTTAGCGATAAAATTTTGAAAATATAACTAATAAGTAGACTTTTAGGGATAAAATAATTTGGTTTCAAAATGGTTTATTTTTTAAGATAAAAAATTTCTTCCCAAAAGGATAATAATTTATCACTAATATCCAATTTTCGTTACTAAAAATATAATAATACTTTTCACAATAAAAATATTTAATTCCTAAAAAATAATTTTATCCCTAAATTTTAATCTCTAAATTTTATTTTTTTTTTATTTTTTATTTTTTAGTGTTGTAGTGAGGCATCCTATATGCTTGCATTCATCAGTGTCAATCCCAAAAGTCGATTTGAATTTCAAAGGGATGCACCACTTTAATAACAGATGCTCATAGTTTAATGGTTAAATTACACTTACACTCCTAAGATTTGAATTTAATACATATTATTTCTTGACATTTAAAAAATTACATTAACCTCCTGTCATTGTAATTATTTAGATAGAATGAAAATATTGAACTCAAACACTCTTTCTTTTCTTACTTTGCTTTATTTCCTCTATTTTTTTTCCCTTTAATTTGCTTTTTTTTTTCAATGTAATTTTCTCTATTTTTCTATCAGGAGTTATTGTCTTTTATATAAATAGGGGATTGTGAAATAGGAATTGGGGTTGCTGCTGCGCAGTCTAAGCAGCAGCAACTGTTGTGCATCGAAATGGGCCTATTATAGCGATCTCGGGTTTACCCTTGTTGTATAGTGATCCGGACATGTGTCCGTGGATGTTGGTAGTTGTTTATTATCTTGTTTGCAACCGTTCAGATTTTAGAATACATCAAGTAAAACATATCTGTAAAAAATTCAATTTAATCGGATATCGTTTACACATTCATCCACTTACATTTGTATCTACAAAAATAAATAATAATTGTGATTTAAAGTATTAAAATGAATAAAAATGTGAGTAGATGAATAGGTAAACGATATCTGATTAATTTATTTTTTTGCAGGCATGTTCTACTTGATATATTTTAAAATGTAAACAGCTCGAATTATCAAAATGGACCCTGTGCACAACAGTTGCTGCTGCACGAAATGTACAGCAGCAATTCCAAATTCTGTGAAATAAGACTATTAATCATAAAGGTGAGAATGTAATTTTTAAAATGTTATTGCACATTTGCTGTTTGTGTGATTGGTTACTTTTATATTTCCTGTCCAGTCTGCATTGGGAGCTTTTGAATGAAGCACAAGTAAAGGAAAATTTCTGTTGTGAAATTGACATCTCATCTTAGAAGAAGGATAAGCATTAACACGCATGGAAAAGTTCGTGTCATTTGTGATTTTTTTAAAAAAAAAAATATAGGGAAAGGGAGCTGTAAAATGCCAAGGAGAGAAGAAACTGTAAGTCATTTAAAATGTATAGTCTATTATTTTTATTACAAAGAGGGTCATGACGGATAAAGTTTATAGAAAAGTATACAGAAAAATTAATACGGCTCGGATTTATTCTTCGAGTGGCGAGGATCACAACCATAATAAAATAAACACATGATTTTTTTTTTTTGTGCACATAACATTACTGTTTTAGCTCTGTTGTCTGGATTTACTTTGCAACTTTGCATCACTTGAACTATCATGTATATGCGTAGTAAAAGTAATGAAAGTTTTGTTATAATTGCATGGATTGCATATACCATTCTAAGCACTGAGCCAATTGATTAGTTTTAGCTGACAAGAAAACACATTCTTCAGATTATTGGATTGTATAATGTTATGAGATATCATTAAAATTAAAAATTAATTGTTTATAATTACTATGTCATTTTGTTTTAGTTATTTTTAAAATTAAAAATAAAGATAAGATGATGGGATTCTTTCACAATCATGGATGATATAAGGGGGAGGATCCAAATCTATCTCGAGTATATTCCATGTAAAATCCAATAAGATGGATGGACTGTTAGAGCCTAGAGGCTTTCGTTTTTGGCCTAAGTTTAGCCTCTTATTGTTGTTGGGATCTAGAGCCCAACTTATTCAATTTTGTCTATAACAAATAAGTGAACGTGACACACTTTATAACTCTCTAGATATCAAAGTTGAGTGTTTTTGGGGGTGTTTGGGAAGAAAAAAAATAGCCTAGTTTAGGCTAAAAATCACAAAAAGACAAAATAGGCTAAAATAGCTAATAAGACAAAATATCACATCAAACCCATAATCATTTCACTTTTTCTCTCACAAACATCACATCCAACTACAAAAAAATCCAATCATCTTCCCAAATACAAAAATTTTAGCCTACTTAAAATAGCCAAAAACTAAAATAGCTTACTAAAATAGCCACTTCCCAAACGAGGCCAGAGATTATGGGGGTGGTAGTGATATTTCAAGAAAACAAAGGGGGCGTTAGTGTAATTTACCCAAAATGTTAATATATAAAATTATATAAAAATATATGTACAAAATGATATGATAATAATATTTTTGTAAAGAATGAACTTTTGGACTTCTAATGAATAAATATATAAATGAAATTACAGAGACTTTCCAATAGGGTGGACAAGTATTCACATGATCCTCCAAAATTGAACAGCTTGAGCCAGTCCATCACAAAATTTTAATGATTTGAACGGACGGATGCGAATATATTTTTTTCAATTCACCTAAGTTCAGTCGAACGGATGGATGAGAGGCCAGCCGACCCAACTCAATCTGCTAACACTCTTAAGAAAGTGAAGTTATGCTTTTATACTTTGTGTATTAAAAAAAGAACCTTTTTATTTAGTAATTATATTTTCTATTTATAAAACATGAAAGGTGAGTCTTTATTTTATTATAAAAAAATGAACAATAACAAATTGTGGGCACAAAATAATAAATAATTACTAGACAATAGTTCGAAAAAAAATGCTTAAAACAGTAAAGCTCAAATTGCTAAACCAATTCGCATTCGCCTACTTACCCGCATGATCGCTCAATCTGCATCCGCTAACTAAGCGGACAGATGTGGATTAATTTTTTCCAATCTGGTTAAATTCAGATGAATGGTGGATGAAATGTCACTCGACCTGCCTCGATTTGCGAGCATCTCTCATTTCCATGATCTCCAAAATAAAAAGGGATATTAGTGTCATTTTAGAAACCTTAAAAGAAATCTCTGTAATGTCATTAAACCTCAAGCAGATCGATGTAATTTACCTTTTGTAATAAGTGTAATAAATTATATTTTTTTATTTTTTATTTTTTTGTTATAGGGAGATCTTCATAGCCTCCTGTAGATTCAAGACAGCGTCTGTGTCGAGATCACCAAGATGTCATGTTGTCCGTTCCGGATGACAGACTATAACTTGGGAACTTGCACCGATCCCTCAATACAAACCTCATTTAAGTCAAGACTTGCGTAGCAGAAGGGAGTCGAACCCATTAGCAGCACCTTGAGGCTCCACTCAAGCCAACTGCGCTACCACCCAGAAGTAGTATAATAAATGTTTGTTGGGAGATTTATGGATAAATTATATTTTGTCCTTTTTAAGTTTAGTCACTTTCCCATTTTGATCCTTAAAATTTATTTTTTCCCACTTTAACTTTTCATGTTTCAAGTTTTTTTTCAGTTTACTCGTAAAGTTAATTTTTGCTAAAAATTAGACAAAAAATAACACATTGACAATCACGTGACATAAAAATATTTTATTATATATATAAATCACATTTTTGACACGTATAAGAAAATTAAATCATTTTTCTAAATTTGTTTGTACTATATATAATTGCAAAATATTGTTAA